AGGAAAATCCGTCATCCACCTTTGCGACGGACCATGCAAATCACACCGACTGCAGGTGAGGTCCAGCTATGCCGCTGAGGCGCATGCAGCTACACCCAACCTTGATGAATGCTACCCCGCGCTCATCACTCTCCAAGAGCTCAAGGCAGGGGCACTTACTCCACGACAACTACGTGATATGCGTGAAGTTGGAGGCCTAGCCATTAAAGTATCCCTTACTATAGACGCTGAGTCTGTATACAAATCGCTATCCAGCAAAGATTTTAATCTGCTGACGGAACGGACTTTGCTGGGACATATCAGCTGGATACGTGAGCTCATGGATATAGGTATAGTGCACAACGTACCGTGGTGTGATACTAGAGACATGACCGCAGATGGGCATACCAAGGGGAGTATCGATCGGGGGCTGCTTTTGGAGGTGATGTCAGGCACTCAGTCATTTAAGTATGACGTGAAGCAGTTTGTTCCCTTTCGGGGTCCTGAGAACAGAAACAAGCCTAAGTCAAATCAGTTTTAGTCTGTCCTTGTTGCCCCCGCGGTCCAGTCTGCCAGCACGGGCGCCTAATGCAGAGGCGCCCTCCTAGTTGCTCGGAAACGAGCCTTACTTCTCACGCTTGGCAACGAGCCTGTTCAGATTGATTCAGGCTCTTTGCTTTAATACCCTTTTGCTCGGAGAGGTATAGCCTGTTTGGCTTGCCTTTAGCCGGGCCGATAGCTTTTGATGTCCAAAGGGCTATCTTGCGCATGCGTGAAAATGCTTTGCGAGGAAACTCGCCTTACAGTCTGGTGTTAGGCCAGACTGTACGTACTGTTTTTTTCTTGCAAACAGTCGTGCGCTCGGCCTTTGTGGAGCCTAACGGCTGCGCGGCTATACTCACCGTCTCCTCCCCTCCCGACTTTAAGGGTAGCTCTTTGGGAGCTGTTATATAGGATCGGGAGGATAGCTCGCGCGCCGTTGCCTTTGGCTCAAGGCACGCGCGCCCTATTTGCCCGGGCACTGCTGGTGTTCGCTATGTGCTGGAAAGATCATTACATCGATCTTATCCGATCTTATCCGTCCACTCCCCATACTGAACTACCCCAGCATGGCATTGGACGCTATCTGCCATCCGGTTCCCATGGAATCGGATGCTATTTGACTTACCATAGTCACTTCAGACTTCCTGGAGGAGTCCCCCGCCCCCCTGCAGCAACGGAGCACCTTTCAGCAATCTGAGCACGAGGGGCGTGTAAAGCTTTCTCGGGTGCTTGCTTGCTTGCGTGGTTGGTTGGTTTCTTGCGTCCGCGACTCCTTGATTCACTGCGTCCCTGCTCGCTGCGTTGCATTCGTGCCTGCTCGCTTGCGTAATTAGCTGAGTGCCTCCTTGCTCGCCTACTGGAGTGCTCGGGCATTCGACTTGTGTTGCCCCCAGGCAGGCACGCATGTTTGCGGACTCGCTCGCTTGTCTCATGAATGCCCGTTTGAAGTTGTACCTAGTAGGCATTCTCATGAGAGATGTCTTGTGCCCCTTGAGCCCGTTCGCACGTACACGTATAAGGGAGATCCCAGGCCCGTGGCCCCCGGCCGGCCTCTCCTCATCTTTCGGTGCCCCTTCTCCCAGGGAGCCTCGCCAGGCGACCCCCGGAGGTCCCAGAAAATCAGAGAGTCTTCCAAAACGGCCCAAGATGGCCTCCGACTGGCCCTCGAGGCCCCCAGAAGCGCCCCACGAGAGCTCCAACACGGCCCCAGGTGACCGCGACAGCCCCAAGGCGCCCCAAGCGGCCCCAAAGAGGGCCTCAAGAAACACACACCGTCTCATTCCGTTCGGCAAACGTATTTTTAGCAAAATCGTTTTCTGGGCTTTCACAGCTTCCCAGACGGGCCCAAGACGCTCCCAAAACGGCCCTGGAGGCCCCCAAGAACTCCAATACGTACCAAGAAGGGTCCGAGACGGCCCCTCCGACACAGTAGCTCAAGCTCATGGCATTTGGACTCAGGCCGGGGGGGCTCAGGCGCTACTTCTGCTCACCAATATTCGTTCATCTAGCCCGCGCGCGTGCTCGATATGAGTCCCCTCCACGCAGCTGTCGTTCTCGCGCCCCCCTTCGGTATCGTGCAGGGTGACTGTGAGGACACCGACAACGGAGCTACAGACAGATCGGGCCAGGGCTGCGATAGTTATGCTAGTTTTCCTAATGTAGTCCGCGCTTGCTGCAGCTACATGTGCCTCACAGGATGCTCTCCCACGAGGACCCATATAGTGTATGGAATCGTTCCACATGGTATCGCCCCATCATTCACTCAACGTGCGCAACACGCGGGTGAAGGCATTTTTCGGTGACGAAGAGTATAGCTAGGTATGCGGCATCAACGCACGCGCACAGACCTTCACAGCTCAGCTGCCTCATATTCCTGTAGCTGCACAGGCCTCCAACCAGCGAGTTGTCCTTCGATTCAGCCGTCCACACACACCTCCAAGCTAGGCGGGTACCACCCTTGCTCCCCGTCGGGCATAAGCCCAGCCCTCCGTGGCAACGCCCTTGGGAACACGCTCAAATGGGAAAACGTTGCCCTGGCGAAGGTGAGGTACTTGGGCCCATACTCGTGGCCTTTGAAATCAGCCAGCGCTGCGCGTCACAGGTCTGCGAGGAGGCGGTGGGAAAGACAGCAGACAAGTCGGCCTACCTGCCTCCGCTTCCACCCTCTGCGTGAGATCGCGGAGCAGTCGGTGTGCAGCTGGGTTCGCATCCGCGAAGTCCGCCTCACCGAATTGCGCCTCGCTCCCTGGCTGGGGCATGGTTGCTCAGACGCACGCTCAGCCACCATGACGAGAGGTGGTGGTGCGTATGCAAGGGCGCCCTCGAGGGCGCGAAGTTATTCGCGCTTCGCGCTTCGCGCTTCGCGCTTCGCGGTTCGGCTCCGATCCCTCATCCTCCTCTTCTCCCCTGGGAGGCGGCGCGAGAGCGCGAAGTTATTCGCACTTCGCGCTTCGCGCAGCGCGAAGCGCGAAGTTGGGAGCCCTTGGTATGGTAGGGTCTGCACCTCAGGCGCCGCTCGAACTCGGCCAGCATGCACATATATATATATATATATATATATATATATATATATATATATATATATATATATATATATATATATATATATGCTTCCGTGGATCTCCGGCCCTCCTGGACCCCCCAGGCAGGTCTGTCCTGCGAGTCCGACGCGAAAAAAGAAGCCCCCACGACGGCCAAAGAGGGCCCCGAGACACCCAAAGATCGGCCCAAGACGCCCAAGACTGCCCAAGAGGCCTCCAAGACGCCCCAAGAGACCCCCAAGAGGCCTTCCAAGAGAGCCCCGAGAGGCCTCCCAAGAGAGCCCCGAGAGGCTAAAATGGCCGATTTTCCTGTGTGTTTTTCGATGTTTTTGGCCTTCTCGCTTTTTCCGCTTCCCCACGCTCCAACACGGCCCAAGAGGCTCCCTAGATCGCCCCAGTACTGCCCAAGAGGCCCCCAAGAAGGCCCCAACACGGTCCAGGAGGGCTCCAAGACCGCCCAAGAGGCGCCCAAGGCGGCCCAAGAGAGCACCAAGACGGCCCAAGAGAGGCCCAAGAGGGCGCGCAAAAATTCAAAACTTAAGTTTTCCGCCGCGAGCGGGCCCCGAGAGGCCCCAAGAGGGCCCCATGAGGCCTCAAGAGGCTCCCCAGAGGCCCCAAGGAGCCCCCAAGAGGCCCCCAAGAGGCCCCAAAAAGATCCCAAGAGGCCCACAAACAGCCCCCAAGAGGCTTCAAAACTGCCTCCCAGATGCCCCCGAGAGGCGTACCACGAGATCCCAACACAGCGGTCTCCCCCTCTTATTATCCATTCTCTTTGTCGTCGCCTTCTTCGTCGTCGTCGTTGTCGTCGTCCCCATCCTCTTCCTCGTCTTCAGCCTCCTCCTCTTCCTCCTCCTCCTCCTTCTCCTCATCCTCTTCAGCTCTTCCGGTTCAGCTCAATCGGCACAGGACTGAGGAGGAGAAACAGGAGGAGAAGCAGGAGGAAGGGGGGAAAAGAAACAGGCACAGAAGAATACGAGGACAAATAGAACGAGGAGCAGATAAAGCAGCGCGGAGGAAAAGTAACGATTACCACCCAGCTAGCAAACGAAGCAAGGGGAAAAGGATGAGGAAGAAGCAGTAGTCGAACCCGCTTCGCTTTGGATTTCCTCGCAACTCCGACTGCGGAAGCGCATTGCTCCATAGTGTTCCCGCTTTCTTCGCCTGAGACATTCTTGCAGACCTTCCGAGATGCGCATGTGCATGCGCGATCAGGGCTGCGCAAACGATTTGCGTATACGTGTACATACCCTTGCACGCGTACATTCATATTCACATATGCAACGTGTACGTATGGGCGCAGATGCGCGCGCATGGACGCACGCACGCACTCCGCTAGCTTGCGAAACTCAAGGACCAAGGTGCATGGCGCGCAGCGCCAGTGCAGCCTTGTATATATATATATATATATATATATATATATACATGTATACCTGTAGACGTATCAGGGAGATCCCAGGCCCAGGGCCCCCGGCCGGCCTCTCCTCATGTTTCGGTGCCCCTTCACCCAGGGAACCTCGCCAAGCGACCCCAGGAGGCGCCAGAAAACCTGATAGTCTTCAAGACGGCCCAAGATGGCCTCCGACTGGCCCTCGAGGCCCCCCAAAGCGGCCCACCAGAGCTCCAACACGGCCCCGGGTGTCACCGCGACAGCCCCAAAGAGGGCCTAAGAAACAAACACTGTCTCATTCCGTTAGGAAAACGTATTTTTAGCATATTCGATTTCTGGGCCTCTGGGCTTTCACAGCGTCCCAGACGGCCCAAGACGCTCCCAAGACGGCCCTGGAGGCCCCCGAGAGCTCCAACACGTACCGAGAAGGTCCGAGACAGCCCCTCCGACATGGTGGTTCAAGCTCGTGGCATTTGGACTCAGGCCGGGGTGGCACAGGCGCTACTTCTGCTCACCAACATCCGTTCATCTGGCCCGCGCGCGTGCTCGATATGATTCCCCTCCACGCAGCTGTCATTCTCGCGCCCCTCTTCGGTATCGTGCAGGGTGACTGTGAGGACACCGACAACGGAGCTACAGACATAAGGGGCTGGAGTTGCTATAGTTATACTACATATCCCTATTGGTGTCACTACTATGACCATTGGGACTTCCAATCCGGTGAGATGTGCTGTGCATGCGGGGGCGGAAGCGGCAGCGGAGGCTGTGTGGACACCGACTACGGAGCTGTAAATCAATATAATATGGATTGCGGCGCATACAATACCTATGGAGCTAATAATGGATGGTGCGCGTCGTGGTGGTATGACGATTATGACTTCTCAAGCTCCGATATGTGTTGTGGATGCGGTGGCGGGGCGCCGGCGCCGCCGCCGCCGACGCCAGCACCCACGTCGCCACCGCTGCCGACGCCAGCACCTACGCCGCCGCCCCCGACACCTGCACCTACGCCGCCGCCGCCCACAACAAGCACCCAAATCTCCACCACTGCCACCCAGACAGCCACAAGTTCCGAGACTGCCATCCAGACTGCCACACAGACAACCACCGAGACGGGCACGAGTTCCGCCTCGCCCAGCAG